TATCAATTCAATCATTCAAATTATTATTTGAATTTGTTAAAATATATTCTTGAAAATAACCTTTTAATGATGATGCTTCTTGAATACTTCTTATACAATCTTTTGGAATAGGTTTATTTTTAAAATAATCATTTAACAAACCAATTAGTTCTTTTCTAGTTTTATCTAAAATGTTAATACCATTTTAATTGATAAATTTTGAATAAATTTCAATGATCTGTATGTTAAATTGTTAGTATTTTCTTTAATTTCATTTATCTTTTAATCAGCTCATCTCTTTCAAAATTTTCATAGTTTCTAACAGATAATTTATTAGCAAATTCTTGTAATTTGTCATCATTAAATAACAAATCGTTTGTTGGATCATATGACTGTTTTATATGTTTTAACTGTTCAAAATTTTTTGTTTTATAATCATGAATACTATTATTACCTTTATAGGGGAATCATTTTAGTGTTGAACCCCAACAAAATTGCAACACGAGCAATTTTTTTTTAATGATAGCTAAGAGTGCCCTTAATATCCCTCAAAAATCGCCATGAATCGTACCTTGGCAACATGACAAAAAATTCAAAATGGCCGCCAAGATGACTGCCAAAATATATATTTTGGCATATATCTTGAGAACGGTTAGTTTTTTCAAAAACGTTATTTCAGCAAATATGTAGCTCTTTTAATGCCGGTCAGTTTTTATATATGCATTTTGTCTGTCAGACATATGGTATGGCCGCAATTTGAAGAGCCGTACTTCATTATATTCTGCCTTTTTCACAAAAATTAAAAATTTTCATTTTTTTATGACTTACTATTAGCACTCAGCAACTTCCTTCAACAGAGTTAGCAGTAAAGTTTCATAGTCTGCGTGCCTATTTACAAATTCAAATATGGAAAAGGGCAGAAGATAGTATGATAACTACAGACTGGAGATGGACTTTGCAGGACAACATGTATGTGCCCCAAACGATGAATTTGCCAGCAGCACCAGATACATTGTTAAAATGATTAGATGCAATTGCAAGGCTCCTTGTAATTCAATGAGATGTGTGTGTAAAAATGGATTTAACTGCACTATTTCCTGTGGTCATTGTTTAGAAAACAATTGTGAAAACAGTCTCCAGTTTTCATTGGACAAAGAAAAAGACTATGAAAATACAGGGTGATTCAAAATGAATGACCCAGTTTTAACGCTTTATAGCTTTTATACTATTAAACTTACCGCTATAAAATACACATCAAACGAAAAAAGCAACTAAAAGAGTTTACGCCTTCCAAAGACACATCATTTAACAATATCGATCAAGCAGCTTTTAGGTTAGAGCTTGTTCGCTGCGCTCACTTGCCTTCAGGTTAGCTCGTTCGCTACGCTAACTCGCCTCCAGGGGACCAACTTTTGTTTAATTGAAACAGCTGTTAAGATTCATTAATTCATTAAAATATGAGTACTCATAAGGTTAACATGGGAAACTCCAGAGCCACTGGGGCGGAGCCCAGAGGTCGGTGGGTAAAATCATTTCTTAGTGAGCGTCTACTACCCAAAAGGAAGATGCCTGCCAAGTTTCAGGTTCCTAGGTCTTATGGTTTCTGAGATTTCGTGATGAGTGAGTCAGTGGTATTTGAGCTTTGTACAGATGAAAAAAAATAATAGTGCTGCACCCTGTTGGTAAATCTTATAAATTTTTAATGCTTTTGCATATCATAGAACCAACTCTTTTAGTTGAAACAGCTGGCTAAATTTTGTTAATTCCCTTTTAATATGAATACTCATAAGGTTAACATGGGGATCTGCAGAGCCACTGGGGCGGAGCCCGAAAGGATTTTAAAGATAAGAATATGCCTATATGTTAATCGGGAAAGTGAGCTATCATCATGCTGAATTTCAGCCAAATCTGACCAGTATTTTCCACGTTCACTTGTCACAAACATACATCCATACATACATCGATATTTAAATTCATTGTTAAGCCCCTGAGCTGTAGATATTATTGTAAGACTAGATTACTTACGTCAATAGCTCATTGAATTGTGAATTAGACTTCATGTTTCAGTACATGTTTCAACACATTGTCATCATCAGCTGAGTACTAACTAGTGAAGTTTTTATTCACCATATGGTTTCGTCATAGTTCAATTAAATAAACACGTAACACAAATACGACACGACACGGAACATATACATTTACAACACGTAAAGCTATAAGATATGCAGGCCTGCTCGAACAAAACATACGGTCACGCCGCGGGTCGGGGACAGACTGACTATTTGTTTATCCAGGCTTATCATTGTTATCACGGAGGCAGTGGACAGCTGTTTCTTTGGTAGGAATGATAGAATTGAATATCGATTTGGAGCTGAATACAGCTGATTGAATACAGTCACACCATACAACACACATTGAAAAAATCTATGAGGGATAACAACTTAAGCCTGGTCTTCAACACGAAGAATAAAACAAAAAACTTGCTGAATTACAAAACGCCAAATGCAAAAATGAACACTAATAACAAAACTGGTGTCTATAAACTAAAATGTGCTGACTGCCCGAGCATATATATAGGCCAAACTGGTCGCGGGTTTAACACACGATTTAAAGAACACAGACCAAACCCTAGGACGAACAAACAGAAATCAGCATTCAGCCAACATATAATCGACAATAACCACTCATTTGGAACAATAGAAGACAGTCTAGAAATACTCCAAATTTGTGAAAAGGGCAGAAAATTGGACACGTTGGAGGAATACGAGATATACAGAGCTCATAAAAATAACAACGCAAATGAATTTGTTCTAAATAAAAAACTAAATTTCAGCTCCAACTCGATATTCAATTCTATCATTCCTACCAAAGAAACAGCTGTCCACTGCCTCCGTGATAACAATGATAAGCCTGGATAAACAAATAGTCAGTCTGTCCCCGACCCGCGGCGACCGTATGTTTTGTTCGAGCAGGCCTGCATATCTTATAGCTTTACGTGTTGTAAATGTATATGTTCTGTGTCGTGTCGTATTTGTGTTACGTGTTTATTTAATTGAACTATGACGAAACCATATGGTGAATAAAAACTTCACTAGTTAGTACTCAGCTGATGATGACAATGTGTCGAAACATGTACTGAAACATGAAGTGAAATTCACAATTCAATGAGCTATTGACGTAAGTAATCTAGTCTTACAATACATCCATACATCCAAACTTTCTTATTTATAATATTAGTAGGATAAGGTATACATATACAGTGTGGTAGAAAAGTCCCGGAACGGTTAAATATTTAAAAAAATAATGCAGATAGAGCTAAAATACTTGGTACAAAATTACAGGGCATAAAACTCCATTTCAACACATATTCAGTGATCCAATAATTCTTCAGGGGGACGGCCCACAAGGAGTCGGAAGAAAATCTTAAATGGAAGCATAGGTCAATATGCACATCAAATTAAAGGTCTTTTTTAGTAGAATACAATGCCGCAAACCGCACTTCAAAAGGTTGATCCTGCACAAAATGACAGTTGTTCAAAGATTCATTTAATTTACATTTGCTATTATACGCTTTCTCCTCAGGGGACACAGCCCTAGGAATCGGAAGAAAATTGTTAACGTAAGAATAGGTCGATATGCACATCAAATTAAAGGTCTTCACTTTTAGATTACGATGCCATAAATTCAAGCTCAAAAGAATACCTGAGTAAAAAATGACAGTCGTTCAAAGATTCAAAATGGCGGATTCAAGAAATCTTTGAACATCTGCCATTTTGCGCAGGATCAATCGTTTGAAGTGCGGTTTGCGGCATTGTATTCTACAAAAAAAGACCTTTAATTTGATGTGCATATTGACCTATGCTTCCATTTAAGATTTTCTTCCGACTCCTTGTGGGCCGTCCCCCTGAAGAGTTATTGAATCACTGATATGTGTTAAAATAGAGATTTATGCCCTGTAACTTTGTACCAAGTATTTTAGCTCTATCTGCATTATTTTTTAAAATATTTAACCATTCCAGGACTTTTCTACCACACTGTATATTTCTTTTTTTCTTCATTTTCCGTTGATTTTCTTTGTTTTTGTATTTTGTTTTTCAATTTCTTCTTTTATCATATTGTCTATCATTTTTGCTCTGTAGCCATTTTTCTCTGCTAAGTATTTAATGGTATTTTTTCTCTTTTTTAAAGTTTTCTTTATTCAAGGGAATATTTTTAAGTCTGTGGATAAGTGAATGGATAGTAGCGATTTTATGACTCCAAGGATGGTTGGAATAGTATGGATCCGTGGTCTTAGGTTTTCTAAAGATGTTAAATGTATGTCTGTTGCTATTTTTTTTAGATTGTAATATCTAGAAATTTTATTTGTTCTTTTTGAATCTCTTCTTGTATTTAAATTATAAATTGTATATAACTTGTGTTAATTGTAAAAAAAATATTAAAAGGGTACTTTGTTAACTATGTTTTTGATTTTTAATATATATATAGGTACACTTGTGTAAAAATTTTAACGAATAGTGTTTTTGGCCTTTAGGGATATCAAAATGAAAAAGTAAATTGGTCCCGAGCTCAAGTCTTATCTTTAGGCCTACGGTAATAGCTACTTCCCCTATAGGGAAATTTGCTAAATCATAAAACCATAGTAATTAAGAATTGTTGTTAAAAAAGACAAAATCCAATAACTCTCTCGCTGTGGTTTTTTGTCATTTCCCACGGTCATGGAAACTTTGGTATCGATTCCCAAGATCGCGGCAAACATCAAATGGAGCAAAGTGTGAAGGCTATGCTTAGAATTATTGCACCATTATATAATTTGGGAAAGGTAACAGTATCGACAAGCATTTTTGGTGGTACGGATATAACAGTTTATGTAGCTTATGTACTTTCTCTCTCATTAACCCTACAGTTCAGTAAATGCAATGCATGTCTAAAACACACATTTTGCATGGGAAATAGAACCGTCATTTGTGTTATTTTGTGATATTAATCTCAACTTATGACTAACTGTTGTATCCCTTGTTCAGACATCTCAGATGAGTCAACAACATCTTCACAATATCGTCACAACCTCGAGAAGACAGATAGCAAATGCCATGGAACCAGGAGTAAGTTTTTTATGTGATTAAACCCTAAAATATAAGTATCAAGCTTTAGGTGGATTCAATGTAAATTTACTCGTTACATTCATTTTAGGTAGTGTATAGTAAACTACCTTAACGCTTTACGTACTCCTCGTCTAGTATGACACTCAGTTGATCAAAAGCGTACATGTATTTACAGATCTTTTTCTTTAATTATTGACATGCTCTGATCATTCGTTAGTCAAAATAAACTCCTAAATATTTGTAATAATCTACTTTTTCAATGTATTCACAATTATAAGATGTACTGTTGTGGTCGCCGCAACAATGAAACTTTAAATTGTCTAGACTGTAATCAGTGCTTATAATGAGTTATATAGGAAGAAATTTAGTCTTTTTCACATTAAGTGAGAGCCAGGGTGTCTAGTAGTCGGGAAAATCGGGAAAGTCGGGAATTAGTATTGAATTTCAAAATGGTCTTGAAAAGTCGGGATTTGGTCTTAAATTTGATTTCAAAGTCGGGAATTTTCGTGATTTTGCCGCGATCGTCGTCTTGCGTTTACGTAACCGCGAAAACCAATGATGATGATACCTGCTCGGCCGCGGGAAATGTTCATGATTTTGCCGCGATCGCGGACGACGACGATGACGTTTCCGTGACCGGGGGAGATGACGATGACGTTTCCGTGACCGCGGGAGACGACGATGACGTTTCCGTGACCGCGGGAGACGACGATGACGTTTCCGTGACCGCGGGAGACGACGATGACGTTTCCGTGACCGCGGGAGACGACGATGACGTTTCCGTGACCGCGGGAGACGACGATGACGTTTCCGTGACCGCGGGAGACGACGATGACGTTTCCGTGACCGCGGGAGACGATGATGACATCTGCTCGGCCGTGGGAAATGTTCATGATTTTGTCACGATCGCGGACGACAACGATGACGTTTCCGTGACCGCGGGAGATGACGATGACGTTTCCGTGACCGCGGGAGACGACGATGATATTTGCTCGGCCGCGGAAATGTTCATGATTTTGTCGCGATCGTGGGAGATGACGATGACGTTTCCGTGACCGCGGGAGACGACGATGACGTTTCCGTGACCGCGGGAGACGACGATAACATCTGCTCGACCGCGGGAAATGTTCATGATTTTGTTGCGATCGTGGGAGATGACGATGACATTTCCGTGACCGCGGGAGACGACGATGATATCTGCTTGGCCCCGGGAAATGTTCATGATTTTGTCGTGATCGTGGGAGATGACGATGAAGTTTCCGTGACCGCGGGTGATGACGTTGACGTTTCCGTGACCGCGGGAGACGACGGTGACGTTTCCGTGACCGCGGGAGACGACGGTGACGTTTCCGTGACCGCGGGAGACGACGGTGACGTTTCCGTGACCGCGGGAGACGACGATGACATCTGCTCGACCGCGGGAAATGTTTATGATTTTGTCGCGATCGCGGAAGATGACGATGACGTTTCCGGGACCGCGGGAGACGACGATGACGTTTCAGTGACCGCGGGAGACGACGATGACGTTTCCGTGACCGCGGGAGATGACGGTGATGTCTAAACATTCGCGGGAAATGTTCATGTCTTTTCCGCGATCGCGGACGACGACGATGACGTTTCCGTGACCACGGGAGACGACGATGACATCTGCTCGACTGCGGGAAATGTTCATGATTTGGTCACGAATGCGGACGACGACGATGACGTTTCCGTGACCGCGGTAGATGACAATGACGTTTCCGTGACCGTGGGAGACAACGATGATGTCTAAACAGCCGCGGGAATTGTTCAAGATTTTGCCGCAATCGCGGACAATGACGATGACGTTTCTGAGACCGTGGGAGACGACGATGATGTCATTGATGTCTACAAGGCCGCGGGAAATGTTCATGATTTTGCCGTGATCGCGGACGACGATGATCACATTTCTGTAACCGCTGCAGTCAATGATGATGTCTAAACGTACAGTACGCGGAAGATTTCATGATAAAAAAAAAAAACAAATTTGCTAGTTAGAATTTTTATTGCTGCATTATTTCTTTACTTGAAAACACGACATTATCATAATACTACTTTATGACAAAGACAGGGGTTGGTGTAGTATTATTTAGAAAATTTGGTTAAGCTATAAAAATTGGTATCGGTACCAAGAATTGAGAATCGATACATTTTGGTATCAACACCCACTAATTGTTGAAAAAACTAGTCTTGAAAAATCTGGAATTAGTCTTGAAAAGTCTGGAATTAGTCTTGAATTTTGTAATGGAAATAAACTAGACACCCTGGAGAGCACATTTTAATCTAACCATTTTTTTTAGAAGTGAGAGGTCACAGAGTGCTTTGGACCTGATATCCTTCCATGAACGAACCTTTATCAAAACTAATGTGTCATCAGCAAATAAAAATAGTACATCATCCAGGTTCAGTTTTCAAATGTTGTTTATATAGACTAGAAAGAGTATAAGCCCGAGAGTGCTTCCCTGAATAACCCGATACTCAATTGAATTTGCATCACTATTCACACCACAGATGGAAACCACTTGATGTCTGTCAGATAAATAGTTTTTGAACCAAGAGAGAGCAGTGTCTCTGACACCGATCTGTTCCAATTTTGTTAGCAACAAGTTTTTGTCAATTGAGCTGAATGTTTTTTTAGATCTAAAAAATTTAACATATATTGATTGTTATTTGCCATTGAGTTATTTATAGATTTACATACTTCAAAAAGTGCATCAGAGATGTGTTTATCTTTTCTAAACCCAAATTGTGAATTAGATAATATATTGTTATTATGAAAGTACTCCACCAACTGCTCCTTGACATTACGCTCTAAAACCTTGAATAATATGCTTAACAATGAGATTGGTCTAATGTTGTTTCTGCCTTTTGGATCTCCTGGAAAGGTAACAATATATCAACATGCATTTTTAATGGCACGGATATAACAGTTTACAAGTATATTCCACTACACCTAACATTCCGAAGATATATTATATTGAACACTTTATGTAAGGAAATACCTTCTCATTGACCCTACAGTTCAGTAAATGTAATGCATGTCTAAAACACACATTTTGCATGGGAAATAGAACTGTCATTTGTGTTATTTTGTGATATTAATCTCAACTTAAGACTAATTGTTGTATCCCTTGTTCAGACATCCCCAATGAGTCCGGAGAACATATTTACGTCCACCCGAAGAGAATCATCAGATGCCACTGTGTCAGTAGGCCTAGTAAGTTTTTTATGTGATTTAACCCTAAAATATAGTATCAAGCATTAGATAGATTCAATGTAAATTTACTCGTTACATTCATTTTAGGTAGTCTATAGTATAGGTAGCAGAAGGCCAATAGTATAACATTTATTAAAAATAACACACACACAGTTTACCATTACTTAGCAACCAAGAATCATTTTCTACTTTCTTATAAGCCTGCTCAACTTTTTAATATCAAAGATGGTTTTCTTAACTGCCAGGTTTGCTTAGTACCAGTAACACAATATCATTTTGGTTACATTTTTTTCCATGTCTTCTCTACCTTCTCTTTGGGTTATATTCACATATTTTTCTTAAACATAATAAATAGAGTAGATATTTTCTAAAGAAGACTGAGAAAATAACCATCAAATGAGTACCTGTTAAAATCAACCATACGGTGTGCAAAAAATTTCATACAAATAATTAAAGGTGTGCGAGCCAGAGATTTTTGATTGAGCTGAGCCAGTGTGATTTTAGATTTACTGGGGTCGTGTAAACATCATTGTCTTCTACAATCACGGCATTATCCTGGATATCCACTGTGGTCATCTAGACCTCATCATGGTCTCTTGCGTTTACTGAAACGTAATCATCGTCATCAGCGTAAATTTTTAATTGCGTGGTATAAGCTTATGCGTTTTGCGTTCACAATTGTAAAATATTGTTTCGAGCTTGATTTTCAGATTTAGTGCTGGATTTATCAAGCTTGTAGGCTAGGCTCGTCTTGGCTCAAAAATCGAAACCGTTCGCACACTTTTATAAAGAATTTATATTTGAATGCTTTTGACACTTGGCTTTTATTGTTACCAGCCAGACGTGTCCCCGATTTCGAAGATCACACACACCAATCCTATTACACAACTATCTCCTGAAGAACATCAGGTAAGTTTAAGCTTTGGTTTTGTTTTACTATACCATCAGAGCAAAATCGTGAATATCTCCTGCAGACTCAGTAAACTCGTTGACGTTTTCCGCGGTCACAGCAAAATCTTGAACATTTTCTGCTGTCGATGCATCATGAACATCTTCTGCGTCCATGGCAATCGTGATTGTCTCCTGGGGTGACGGAAAAATCTAGAACATGTGACATACAAAATTTAAAGGGTATAAACACACCATGATTGGACAACCATCCCATCTGACAGCATCTGACTTACCCATTTACAGCCACAATAGCCTATACCTGAAAGTATGCGCTAGATATACTAGTTTAAACTATTTGCAAAGGAATAGGTCTACGCTCAAACACAATTAAGTATAAACACAGACATCCAAATGATGTATTTATTTTTAAACACTTGAAATAATGGCAAATTGTCAATGGAACCCGTTAGGCTCGCCCCTACCTCTCGCCACAAAAGAGACAAGAATTTTGCCTTGTTCCACACGCCTTTGATTGTTTGAGGCGGGAAAACTATTTGTGTGCTACGGCCCGCGCAACACAGGATATTGTTTTCGTATTAGTTGGCCTTTTTCCAAGATGACCGTGACCGTTAACTTATTTTATGGACTCCCTTGGAGAATAATTCAAAACTACAAAGAACATTTCTAATCCCACAGTATACTAGCTATTTAAATTATAAACACTTTGGTGTTTGAAAAATATTTTTGGACGATAAATTTTGCAGCTTTTTGAAATCATCCAAGATGGCCGCTTGCCTCCAAGGACTCAACAATAGGCCTAATTGTGCGACTATAAAGGAATAACTTCCCACCTTACGCTTGCGAATTAGTACGGTACATATTTGTATCCACAGTTGCCAGGACGACTATTAAGACGAGCAAAGATTACATTGACATTTAGGTATTTAATCTGTAGACTAGTAATTGTTAAGTAATCTGGAAGACAACTAATTAAAATGAAGTGCGAAAGATGGGTTATGAGAGTGCTCAATGCCTGAAGCATAATCCATTTGTTTGAGGTGCGGATTTTCAAGCTTGTAGAACAAATAAATATCACAAAGTAGAAGGGCAGGGGTGAAAGTGACTGAAGTGACGGGATACCCGGGTGGATTTTCAGTGACTGGATTCCAGTGGTATGCGGTAAAATATATAGTGACTGGCTTAGCAGCACAAATTTTACGTGACTGGCTTTTCCATGCAAATGCGGTGGTGACTGCATTAGCATAGCATTTTTTACGTAATTATATTTTAGTATTTTTAAGAAAAAAAGAGATATATACGTTCAGATATGTCTAGGCTTAAGATATTTACCAACATATATTATATATATATCATAGTCTTGAAATATATTGGGGGGTGCAACTGACTGACTTCCAGTGTATATTTTATGTGACTGGCTTCCCGGGCGCGGCCGTGTATATATATATATATATTTAATATTTTATCCAGTACAAAATGTCAACTTTTGTTTCGATACATGTAACGTTTTAAGCTCAAAAATATTAAATGTAGCTGCAAGTAGAATCATGAATCAGGATTAAATGCATTAAATGAGTATGATTTTGTCCTACCAGATTAATCAGCAAAACTCCACAAGAGGTAAAATGACCTAAACATAGCTTTGTTTAGGCTAACCATTATCAGCTGCTTAGCTAATCATTATTCACAATACCTGTATTAGTCACAAAGGTTTAGTCATTCCTGATAGCAACACCTGTTAGTTTGCCAGTTCACTTGAGTAGCTCTTCTGGGAATTTTAAGGGTAGTAAGATTTTATTTCAACATTTTACTCCAATCCTCAAATTTGTAGATTTTATTTTTATTGTAAGGGTGATATTGTTATTTGAACTTGTGTTGTGTTTACTAAACTATTATTTTGTGGTTTTATAGGAGGAAAGTGTTCTCCTCTCTTCTTCTGACGAGGGAGATAACTCTACTATGACAACAAACAAGACCACCAAAGGAGTAACACACGTGAGTGCTTGTTTGGCTGTAATCATTTTTCAGTATTATTCAAATTTTGTAATAAAACTAAAACTGATTTCTATGTTAGCTCAATTTCAAATAGCTATTACTGTACTATTATTATTATTATTATCATTCAGCTTTTATGTGCAGTGCACTCTTATTTTTTCCTACCGTTACCTAACAATGTACATGTTCTCTCACTGATTTGAGAAAGCAAAGTGGCCAATTCGCTCATCAGTAAGACAATGTTAACATTGTCTCACTCTAATTACTTAGTCTCACTCACTCCAGATTTGCAACGTGAAGGCACGAAATAGTGAGCGCGTAACATGCAGACAAGGTCTTATGCGCGTGAAATACGTTGGCAGCACTGGCTGTAAATCAGCTGGTCAGCTGTTGTACTGTTGTATCATTAAATGTAATATTAAAAGTTCACTTCTGTGTAAAAATATGTCACGTTTCTTTACCAATTTATTTGTTTTATGGTTGAAGGAATAATAATGTGCAACTCGAGTGAAAAGTGCAATTGCTCACTAGTTGCACAAAACTATTGTTTATACAAGTCGATAATAGAATAATCAATGAATTATAAAATTCAAATGAAAGCTCAATTGTAAACTAATCAAATATTTAGTTGATTTATTTCAGTTTTATTCAAACAGGACCATTTCATAAGAAATGATTGATTAAATATAAATCACATTGGGAAAATCAATATCACGGTTTGTTTATAAGTCACCACCAAAGTTCTTAGTTTGTAAATTTCAAATATTTCCTTTAATTTAGAGTGATTTGATAAATTAGATAAAGATATTTTGCCTTTGACTTTGAATAGAACTAGAAGTTCAATTCAAAAAAGTTAAAAGTTTAATTTAAGATTAATATGAAACCTAGTTGAATTGAGCCATTGACTATTTGGATGTGGCCATTGACCAAGCTTTAAACAATGGACAACTTATTTTAAACTATAGTATCTTTTATGTCCAATCCAACTACTAACGTATTAAATATGTTGGTAGGGAATAGAATTTTGACAATGCACCCTCTGTGAATGGGTCATTCAGCTACGTTAATTTAGAATACAAAAATGCCTACAGCTGTTTTATATTGAAGGATGTCTGCTCCTAAGTCAATGACGTAACATAAGACTAGTGATGGGTTGATTCCAGAAATTTCTGATTCCCATTTTGATTCTTTGAAATCTATACTCAATTCTCAATCCTTATTCCATTATGTTAAAATAATTTCCCGCGGTCGTGTAGACATCATCATTGTTCACTGCAAAACCCTGAATAACCCCTACTGTAACAGAACATCATCGTCTTCTGCGATAGTGAAAAACTCCAATCATTTCCTGTGGCTGTGTAGACATCTTTATTGTCTCCCGTGGTCACGGCAAAACCCCTAATAGCCCCGCGGTAACAGAACACCTACATCGTCTTCCACGATCACGACAAAATTCGTATCATCTCCCGTGGTTTTGTAGACATTGGAATTGTCCACTGCGGTGGTCACGGAAAAACCCTGAATTACCCTTGCTGTAATGGAACATCATCATCTTCTTACACGATCATTGAAAAATTCCAAATCTTGGCAGAATTCCAAAGCTGAGAATTTGTGGGACTGAAAATCGACTTTAAGAATCGACTCATCCAGCTACACAAGACACAGAAATGTAATAATACGCATTCCAAAGTAAAATTACTGACTAAGCGATTTCACATTTGCCTAATCAGATTCCTACTGAAATATTCTCTTAAACATGTCAGATTTTACTCCCCATTTGAACAACATTTGGAGTATGTTGTTGAACTGTTGGTTGTGTGATGAAGAAGAAGATATGACAATAATTAAGAGTTTCAAGAGGTGAGTGCCTATTTGACTGTAATCTTTTTCTTCAATTGTACAGTAAATGTCCGTTTATGGTCTTCCCCTAATTTATTACTAGGCTAGTGATGCAATATAAAACCATTGAGTATACATGTATATGAGTTGTCACATAATGCTATTAGTTGTTACCGATTTTGGCGACGTAGTTCGGGCCGCTGACGCTTGGGTAGCGGTAGTCTGTCGTCAGTGCAGCGCGTCTCTGAGGACCTTTTAATCATTTAGTATTAAAAATTTATTATAAAACAACGAAACTAGAATCAAACAAATTAATTTCATCAACAAAAATTACATTTTACAACCTACAATGAAAGTAATACTAAAATACCACCAAACTGCCTTCCCGACTAGCCCAGGGTGGAGTAGTTCGGGCTGCTGACGCTACTCTGGAACAGCGCTGTTCAGGTAACGATAACCTCCATTGAGTGGCTACTCTAGTATGTGTATATTCAATGATAAAACCCATTAGCAGTCCCAAATCCATTACTATTTTATCACAACAATAATTGTTGTACTCAAGTACTACCAAGAGAGTTTTATCCCTTTTATTTCTTTACAATCATCTGTTTGACTTGAGTTTATGGATTTGTAATTCTTTTCATTTATTAGTTCTCAAAATCAATTGTTTTTAGATTTTGATCTCATGCAGTAGATCTATCTATACTACTGTATGACATGATATGCAATTTTTACAGTTCGTACTAATTATACTATAACCAATGTGTGTGTTAATTTCTGTTAAGATTTTTGTAGTAAATCAGATTACACAACATATTTTCTTCAAAACGTTCTCCACGTTTCATGTTGCTTAGCCTATTACTATTTTAGGCCCTATAAAAATAAATCTTATGTAAAGCTGTAGGCCTACTAATGCCTAATAATAGATAAATTATTTATGATGATGTAACTAATAATTATATTGCAAGTTTGAGGTTTTGTACTTAGGAGATTAGGAGGCAGGGAATCAATGACACATATTGTATGGTGGAAACATAGAATTTTTATTTTCTTCTTTCTTGCAGTCTTGAAGCAACAGCCCCTAAAATTGTAATATGTTAATTGATTTGTTAATGATATTTTTTAAGTTTCATTCAAAACTTGTTGTAATTTAGCTATTTAGCTTTTTCAACAGTTAGTTATAAAAATGGGAAGCATTTATTTATTAATTTAATTTTACGACAAACACCATTTTAAACTTAACTTTATTTTAACTTTGTTTATTTCTTGACACAATCCCTGTTAGAAGTAAAGTTTTGATAATTTGTGAGACAGTAAAATCATGAATTTAGGATACTGTCCATATTCATAGTAATGTCAATGTATCAAAATAAAAAATAATAGTTTCAATACAATTCTGAGGAGAAAACCGCAAAATTACTGGTAGCCGCGTACCGTACTGATTTTGTATCGAGGACCGAGGTACAAAATATTGTACCGTACCAAACCGTACCAACCTTAAATTTTCTGTACTGCAGACCCCTAACTATGCATACATTTTTGTTTGGTTATTAGTTAAACTAAAGTTTATTAGTTAAACTAAGTTTCACCTGCATAACAACAACGCTTGTGGTTTCTCTTGTTTGCACACTGTAACAATCTAAACCTTCAATTATTAAAAATAATAACTCAAGTAAACGAGAATTATCATTATTCCTGAGACTTTGACTGAAATATACGTTGTTGTAATTTTACCTATTTAAAACCGAAAAAGTAACATGAAACTGACCAAAAGCCAATCTTAACTGAAACCGAACTGATAAAAAATGCAAATGACAAATTTAAGTTGTTTTAAGACAGGTCCATAAGAGGAAGGATCTAAAAAAATTGGATCAATAAACAATTCAAACTACTACAGTTACCCTGACTTACCTTGACTTTATATAGGGATCAAAACCATTTGGGATAACCTTTTTTTCAGTTTTTTTTTTTTTAGTTAAGTACTAAGCTAAACAGAGAGGCTTTAAATTTTAGCTTTTATACACATATTTTACATTACATAAGCAAATTAAATATATTAGCCTATTTGTCAACTGAGTTATTTCATCTCAATGTTTAGATAGCTTATTTTTAGTTAAAAGAAATGTGTTACCATTCAAATAAGAGATATCTTTTTACATTAATGAATAAACTAACAAATGTACTAACCATCTGTTTCTGTTACAGCCTAAACCTGAGACTGACTTACAACAACTCCAACACCATCTCCGTAAGATGGAAGAGGCACACCACAGGTATACTCATGAAAACTTGTTAAACAAATGGGTTGTTAAATCCAGTTTGAATTCCAAAGAGTCCTTTGATTATTGAAATTAGTTTTTAATTAAATTATAGTAACCTGTCAGTAACCCTTTCTCAAAGTCAGTCCCAGTATCAGATACTGAAATCGATTCTCAGTTCTTAATACCGATACCATTGGCACTTGACTAAATGGTAAATAGTACTTTTTTCACAAGAAGGTTGTAGACTATGTATTTTGAAGTTTTAGACTGAAAACCAAATCTTCATCATCATCATTAGATCCTTCCATTCATCCCAACAATGTGATTCAACATTAAGTATCAGTAGTTTGGTATTTGCAGTACTAATGAAGAGCTGCAGGCGACGATCCAAGAACTTGCTGATTTACAATCACAGCTGGAGGTCTCTAAAACAGAAAATGAGAAGTTGAAGGAAGAGCAAACCATGCTACTCGAATCATTATATCGGCAGACAGAGCGACTTCAAGCAGCTAAAGTGGAAAATGAAGACCTACAAAAGAGCATCAAGGAGGGAGTCGGCGTTCCCGAAAGGGAAAAGAAGCTGATCGACCTGCTTCAGGTACTAAATTTATATTTTAAAAGTACTGTAGATATTACAGTACAGTAGTCCCAAATTACTTAGCCTTCAGGGAAATTGACCAAAATAAATTGAACTTGTTAGTTTTATACTGGCATTGATTTGATTACTTTTAGAATTTACCTAATTTTCTGGGTTTAGCATTTTTTGAATTTCTGGGTAGTCATGTTTTGAGTTTTGTGTGTGAGTTTGTTACTTGTTTGTTATCAAGTCAAGTGGGGTATACACTATACAGTCTACTCTAAACTTTGGCATAAAACTAGTTTAGCATCACGCAAAAATGCATAGTAACTATCGCTTTGTCAATGACGTAACTAGCCAGAAAAACAAAACACCAACATTGCATCTTGAACTCCACCTGATCAATGCTCATCAAGCAACAGTACTGACATTGTTTGACGTGTAAGGTTATTTATAGAAATTAAATATGATTTGTCAACCGATGAAAGAAGTCCTTCAAGTTTTACATGGTAAATAGTAACTTAAGTGCTTTATGAAAGATAATATGAATTATTAATTTTTAATATTTACTTTTATTTATACTACAGTAGAACCTCAATTAACTGGGGGTGGATCAACCGGACACGGAACAACCAGGCAGCAGATTAACCGTGGTCAATAGGTGCCTCTAAAACTATATTACATAACCTCATTATCCAAGAAATACACCAAGAAACTTTTATAAATTGTTTTTTTTTTAGTGTAATGTGTTAAATGCATTGCATATTAAATCCTTATTTAAAAAAATGATTAATATTGTTGACATTGACATTGCATATTCAATTATTTCTGCCCATTATTTCTATTTGTATGCAGTAGGCTCCCACAGTTCATTTGACAAAAAAGAAGATGTTGTTATGTTACCTACTTTTGTGGAACAGTCACAGCAGGCGATTGGGACTATTCAACTGTCGAAGAAGAAATAAAGAAATATCTATCGGTAGATTCAAGGTCAAGCTACCAATAGATATTTCTTTCTTCTACGACAGTCTAATCGTCCCAATCATCTGCTGTGCATCCCAATCGTCTGCTGTGCGTCCCAATTGTCTGCTGTGCCTATGTCACAACTAGTAGATGACATAACTACGCTTGTAATAGGGTAATTAGTAACCATGACAACTTAAGTAGTCCTTAACTGAGTGATTACAAACTATGGCAACTTTATAGCCTGAAAAATTATAAGTGAGGTTTTTTTGTTTAAGTGATTAATAAAGTATAGAGGAACAATGTTTTTATGTACCTTATTGTTACTCTTAAATTACTATCAAATTTTAACAATTAATTGTTGTAGTTATCCTTAAGTGTACTATGATTTTATACTCTTTTTATGAGATCTATTGTTTTATCGTCATTATTCTGTCCTGAAATAGCATGTACCAGTGGCCTATGACTAGCGGTAGCATGCTAGACTTCTATTGTCCTGTTCTTTACACGATTTGTTGCTGTACAGTGTTCTTGGATTTTTGTTGTTTGAGTAAGGCGTGATTTAAAACCGTACAGTTTTTATAATTGAATTAAGGTTAATATAACTTAACATATTATGATTGAGAAATAATAATTGTGTTTAGATAATGTAAAATGCAAATTATCAAAATAATGTCCTTTTATTAGGCAGACAGTTTTTATGAGTTTGTAATGTACGTTTATGTATTGTTGGATTAACCGTTATCAGTTATTTATGCTCTCCTCCCCCCCCCCCCCTCCCACGGATAATCGAGGTTCTACTGTTTTTGATATTACCGGATGTTCTAGCCCTTTGTGTTGGGTTACTTTTAAAAGTGTGAAAAATTTGTCTTTTTGACCATGTAGTGAAAAAATATTTTTTTACCATTACAGCAAGGTCAAAATACCAGGGAATCTTTTATTTCCCAAAACAATGAACTGACTCAGAAATTTAACGAAGCCCATAGAACAAGAGAGCTGACGGAACAACAGAACTCGTCTCTAAGAGAGACAGTTAGGGAGTTGGAGGTAACTGTAGAGGATGTTCAGTTTGAAAAACTTGCAATTGAAGAAGAGTTGAGACATCTGAAAGAGGATCAATCCCTCAGATACTTTGAGGTGTTGCGTCTAAATGTTCTACTAGACCTTGAAGAGTGCAAGGTGAAAGAACTAAAGGCAGCTCAAGCTAGCTTGGGCAACGATAACGAACTATACAATATAGTAAACAAAGTTATGAAGGAAAAAGAACAGGCAGAAGTCAAAATGGCCGAGTCAGAAGATGCTCTGAAACGTACTTTGAGTGAGAACATTCGACTGATGAAGCAAGTAAATACACTACAGGAACAGATCACCGTGAGTATCATTTACCTAACCAAAGTGTTATTAATGCTTGACAATGTTTGTTACTGTTGAATAACAATGTTTGGGTAGCGCTTGCTTTTGCAGATCTTCTCATAATCTGTGTGAAAGTCTTAATTCTTGACATTGTTCTCCTCTTTCAACTCTTCTTCACCAGCATCTTTAACTAGCTGTTAGTGATTTTCTTAGAAAAAGCACACCTATTAATTGTATATAATTTGCTCTTTACGACTTAAACGCTTCTCGTAGAACACAAAAAACAGTGTAAATAGTTAGATGTTAGTGAAGGATGAAAGATATTTTTTCATTTTATGATACTTATCTTCACCTTATACTTGAAAAACCTTCTAGTTAAATGAATAATTGTTTTGCTTTAAAATTTATAAAAGGACTTGACAATCATGTTGCCTACAGCTCTTGAGTATTATTGATCCCTCGAAAAATTCCCAGATTTATTTGGGTTACGAATGTCCCCAACAACTCACAGCTTTATTATGTATCACTTTTTGTTAGTAATTTAAATTTTAAATTATTTTAGCCAGGAAGTAAAAACTGAACAAACTGAACAATTTGTGTAAAGTTTTATTATTGAGAGTTTGAGCCATAAGTCAGGTTAAAAGTAGCTGTTAGTTTTGCTGTTAACTAGTTTAATAACTGTGCAAAGTAAACTAACCAACGTCTTATGTCAGCTGACAATATTGTGTCTTGTTGTAATGTGTATTAGAAAACGTCACCAAGTCTTACCAAGACCGTATGTAAACATGAAATCCATGTATGATTAGACAGTCTAATCGCATTGTACACATGTAACCCAACAAGTAACCCTGAATATTGCATGGTAGGGTCCATGACCCATTGAGCTTCATCGATTGAGCTTTACCTCACAATATTTAGACCTTTACCTCACCAAAGGAGAATATAACCGTTACTTTTAGGGTCTATTAATGACAGTGAAATGTTTTTTTATTCAATCCAGTTATAAACTACCGTACTTTTATTTTTTACAGTCAGAACCATCCTGTCGATCCTGTCTCACTATTATCACCATATAAATTGCAGTATGTGGCTTCAAACTGGTTTAACAACTTTTCTAATTGTTATGTGTTTTGCACAGGTAACCTTGGAGAAACTTGTAATTACACTGTTTAATAAAATGTTATTCCTGTTTTTTTGTTTATTTTTTTGTGTTTATGCATGTATTTGTAATATTTGTTGTCCAAACCAGAAATATGTTTTGTAAGAGTACTATGTTTTAAAAATATACATTTGAAACACACTTCTGAATACTTATTGCACCTGTTGCATTTTAAACCTAAGCACATCAGTTTTTAACTGTGTAATATGCATGTCACTTAATTGAGCACTTATTTTGTTTTCTTATTAATACCCTTCATTTGACTTGGTGTGTGGCTTGGTTTGTGGCTGTTTTCTGTTGTATTAGTGATTAATACTGTTTTCTAGTCTTACCCCAATACCTCAATACCCTTCAAATGCTGTTAAACAAATGTGCAATGTAATCACATGGATATAAATGTCAATTAATTGACTCATAGATAACATTGCTGTTTTCTTTTAATTCTAAAAACATGGGTACTCTTTACTATTTCCACTTAATTAATGTATATATTTAAAAATTAATGGTAAATTAAATTTTCATTAATACTTTTTTTTATTATTGCTATAGGCCTATATTTTAAAATAATCTTTCAAATATTTAAATGTAACAGTTCCTATTATTATTATTATCATTATTAATATTAAATTTGTCTTTTTTCTAAGTCATTTGTGTTTTATTTTCAATAATTCCAATCTCATCTTTGAAACAACTAGTTTTGAACCTTCAGAATTTAATCATGATGAAATAACCTGCATTTTAAATTTTCATGAAGTAATTCAAATTTACATATTTATAATGCATGGCATACAAATTATACTTATGATATTGCATGGTGTTTGAGAACACTCAGATAGGGATGTTCATGTTCAAAATCTTTGAGCACGCAAGATATTTTTAAGCCTGGGTTTTATATTCCATTGTGTTGCTTGTAGACACTGAAAGAAATTACAGCTAATGCAATCTCCGACCTAGAAAACAATACCAAGTTACAGAAAACAGAACAAAAGTTAGCAGAAGAAAAGATAAATGAGATGGAAATAATGTCAAAAGAAATTAAACAACTAAATGGCGTACTTTCTCAAGAATTGCAAAGTGCAACAGACAATTTAAGACTTACTGAAGAAAAACTACTAGTCACTACTAAACAACTTGAAGATTGTAAGAGACGGAACCTTAAAGAAAAACTAAAAATAGAGAGTGAGGTAAGTTTGCTAAACAGAAAACAGCCAATGCAGCCTATGCCAAGTATTATTGTTGTAGCCAGTTATTCTTTTGATTTGATGAGAAATATGATGTTATTTAGCATTCTTTGTTGACAAATTCCACTGTGTTTGTAATACTTAACAATTCCAGTAAACCTGGAAAACGGGAAAACCGAAAATTATGCGTAAATTTTGTTGACTGAGAAAAAATCCTTGTATTGTTTGTGAATTTTGTATAGAACTGTGAAATTTTGGATTTTTAATACTCCCTGGAAATCACAGTTTTTTTTTTGTTTCACGCTATGAAAACTTGCAATGTGGTACATTTAATTATTAAGAATTAAATCGTTGCCGTGATTGTAAGGAATAATCACGGACATTGCCGATGTTTTGCCTAGGTGCAAGAAATAAACACAAGAAATATAATAACGTTGCTGCGATCGCTGAAAATCTTCATGAATTTTGTCACAAAATGCAAACAATAATCGCCTGTGACCCCATTCCCAAAAAAATGAATTTTACCCTCCCCATAGCAGAAAATCTTAGTACTCGTTAAATCTAATGTTTTTTTTAAATACAGTAGGGTATAATTATGTCTTGTTTGTGGAAATATATAAATAAAATCCAATCAGACAAATTAAAATCGGGCAAATCTGCAAGTTTGCTGCAACGGGAGTATTTTATTGTACCATAGATTACTCTCATTTGGTTCTACAGAGGAACTGCTGATATAACGTTTTTATCGGGTATATCTGGAGGTGATTAGTGTAGCTCAGTTAAACATATTTTAAAATTGAGTAATTTGTTTTTAGTGCCGAGAACTTCAACAGATCCAAGAAGACCTCCTAGTGGCTGTTCGGGTCGCTAACGAAATAAAGTCGGAGACCCAGCTCCACTTCGAAAAACTACAGATTAAAGTCAGGGAGCTTGAAGAGAAAAACGCATCCCTCCTTACCCAAATAGAATACTTGACTAGTAAGTTTTCAACAAAAAAAAAAAAATTCTTAATTATTTAAAGTGTTTAAAGGATTGATTATGTTTTATGATTATTTATGTTATTCTTGTTTAAATTACTTAATTAGAATTGTGTTTGTAGCTAAGTGAATTTCAAACACAACATGGATGAAAATTAGTTGGATATTATACGTAAGACTTTTGTGTAGCAGCAAAGACAAAACAATTTATGTTTTAGAACAGTTATTTCACTAAATTGTTGAGTATTTCATGTAGAGGTTTCTCTTGCTGTTAATTTAATCTGATGATGTGGTTGGCCTAATCCATGGATACAAAACAAAATTTTTCATTAGAAATTATAAACAGCTTTAACCCTTAAATGCCCGTGCGGGAAATAACATACCCCCACGTACGGTCATTCTGCAATAATTTTACAAGTATGGTGGCAACCCCGATGAGCATAACACTAGCTTCCTAAAATAGCATATGCATTATATGGCCGCAGGGTTGTTAGGCTTGACCAAGGCATTGACCTGTCATCACCCCCTGGGTCTGGAATACCCCCAAGCGCGTGCTTGTGTTACCAGTACAGTGTTCATTAAGGGATCCAGTGTACACCCGCGTGCGTAGTAGTGTCTCAGATTTATTATCATAATTATAATTAGTATTAATAACTTTATCATTATAATTTCAATAGTAGCCTATTGAAAGTTTGCAAAAAACTTATTATCTGTAAACCAATTGGATGGAAATGTCTAACCATAGAGTTAGGGATGGACGGGATTTAATTTTTAGTTTGGGACGGGACGGGATTTTTATTTCCTTCCCGACTTTCAGGACGGGACGGGATTTTTTTCTGTGCATAAAAAGAAAGTCTTGAGTATTGCAGTTACAAAAAAAGACAAACAAAATCAATTTTTACCGTTTGTGGCACTGATCTATAAAAATAAAAAAATGGGTAACAATTTACAGGTACCTATAGAAACTTGTGACTCGCGGTCACGGTGCGATCGTCAAAATGACCGCGGTAACGGGGTGATTGTATGTATGACTCGTGGTCAGGACATGATCGTCGGTACGACTCACGGTCACAGCGTGATCGTCTGTATAAATCCGCGGCCACGGGGTGATAGTCGGTATGATTCTGCGGTCACAGGGCGACCGTCATTATGACTCCACGGTCACAGCGCAATCGTCATTATGACTCGCGGTCATGGTGCGATCGTCGGTATGAATCGTGGGCGTGGCGCAATCGCTGTTATGACTCCGTGGTCACAGCGTGGTCGTCGGTATGGCTCGCGTTCTCGGCGGGATCGTCGGTATGACTCCGTGGTCATGGCGCGATCGTCAAAATGACTTGCGGTCACGACATGACACAGCATATGACTCCGCGTTCACAGCGCAATCGTCGGTATGACTCCGCGGTCACAGCGCAATCGTCGGTATAACTCCGCGGTCACAGCGTGAACGTCGGTATGACTCCACGGTCACGGCGTGATCATCAATATGACTCACGGTCATGGCGCGATCGTTGGCAGACTATTTAGCTAAAGAAAAACCAAGACTTGAACTTTTTAAAAATAAACCTTCTTATATTGGAAACCATTTTTTTAGAAAACTTCCTAGCTATTAAAAAAAATGAAAAAGACAAATCTAAATCTATGAAAAAAACTGAAGGCATTTTTACTTGACCTTGCACCTTACAAAATAGAAGATTATAGTAATTTCAATTTAAAATAATGTAGCTTATAGTATTTTGTTTAAATGTTTCTTATTGCTGATTTAGGTAGTAAGTAACAATAGACACTATTTATGTACGAAAATTTGTACTGTGTGAATAAAGACTCTTTGAAACTTGAATCTTGGTATGACTCCGCGGTCACAGCGTGATCGTCGACATGACTCCGCGGTCACTGCGTGATCGTCAAAATGACTTCATCTCCTGCGTTCGCGGACCTATTGTCAACATCTCTCGCACTAGCGGCGTCATCGTCACTCGCTAAGCGGCAAAATCACCGACGATTGGACCAAATCCCGTCTCGGAAAATTCCCAAATCAAATGTAATCCCGTCCTGATAATCGGGAATATTTTTTTCCGAAAAATTCCCGAAATTTTGGGACCCGTCCATCCCTACATAAGAGTCCACTGATTTAGCTTCCCAGTGCAAAGGCAAGTCTGCCTTGATAACCGTCTGCCTTGGACAAAAATACACCTAGACCAAATTTAAGGGTATAACCTAAAAAAAAAGAAACAAAAGAAACAATATTCTGGGGGAAAATTCAAAATATTTGTGAAGGGTGTTCAAGTACTTTTAAACCAATTTAAATGTTTCTTATTGCTAATTTAGTTGGTAAGTAACAATAGACACTATTCATGTACGAAAATTTTGTACTGTGTGAATAAAGACTCTTTGAATCTTGAATCTTGAGACCCAAAATTGATCACCGTGCGGAGTTGGACATGTGCCACGAAGGACCCGAAGTGACCTCCGCGAGGAGTTGGACAGTCGGTTTTGACATATTTCTGACCACCGCGCGGAGTTATGATAAGCCCTGGAGAACACTGAGGGCAACTGCGTCTGTGATTAGATGATCCTTGTACCTTTGGACATGGACTCGTCCTGTAGGGGTATCAGTTGAAGATTGACTTGTATGACTAACTTGAGACGTTTGGATGTGTGAACTATAATTTAGTTTTTCATTCAATTGAGACAAGGGTAATGGTGAAAATCCATGTGTAAATAAGTGCTTTAATTCTTCATCCGACTGCTTCAGAACGCATAGCCTGTGAAACAGTACGAGGGGGTCAATAGTCACCTTTATATTGCCTACAGTCACAGTATTGACATCAGAAGAAAGAGATACTACTTTATTCTTCTTCCTTTTGTAACTTATTCATATTTTTCTCACCCAATATCTCTAGCCATATGACAGTTGACAGTTTCCTTCCAACAATTCCACTGCTTAAGAACATTATAACATCAGTATTAGGGAATGGAGGGTGACGAAGTAACCAGTCACACAGCTTCTCTGTATTCGCTTCAACTCGAGTGACTCGTGAGGGTCTCATTTCTACATACTACTCAGTTGTATGTGCCTTAACATTGCAGTAGGCCTACTCCTTAACCTCAGCACTTAAATTCTACAGATAAATTATATCATTCCTACTGTCCATCGGGTGAACACGGTGTCAGTTATACCACGGTCCCGAGTCAAACCTACATAGCTTTTCGTTAGGCAATTGAGCACCTGCTTTATAGTCATGTCGGTCCAAACACCCGTCTAGAACTTTTCCGAACACTCAATGAATGGTGAAGAACCCGTTGGTGGTAAATAACTGGTGTTTATTGAAATCCATCTTGTTTCCTTATTTCAAAATATCCTGCAGGTACAGATTCGAAAACTTGGCATAAAAGAAGTAATATGTGGCATGGCAGAATGATAGCAAAGTTACACCTTGTTTTCACTGTTGCCTCTTCTATAAATTCCTCTTGATAGTATAAACATTTTAGTTACAATAGATTTCTTCCATAAAAAAGAAAAGAAAACTTATAATATGTTGTTGTAATGAAATACATTTATTACATTTTTATTATAGTTCTTTTATATAAATTGTACCAAATTGAATAACTTGAATCTTAAAGTACAAACATTTATGGAAGATTTTATGAACCTTGAATAGGCATATTTCTAAATGTGTTAGGCCTATAATCACCATTTTGGTTTTAAATTGTGAGTAATTTAATTTAGGCAGTTTTAAAGTAATTATGGTTATTTTAATAAAAAATAATGATAAATTTTATTTTTTAGGGTTAACGTTAGCCAAACTTTAAAAACATTAAAAAATAAAAATGTTGTAATTTTAGCCGTTGTTTGCTGAGTCATATCTTGAAAACTATTAGGCCTGTAATACCCATTTTGGTCTTAAATAATAGGTAATTTAATGTACTTCAAAAATGGTTATGGTTGTTCTTTATGAAAAAGTGATGCTTTAGGGTCAAAATTGGACAAACGTAAAAATAGTGCGAAATTCCGCCGATTTTTAAGCTTTTTGGAGGTGATCCGGAAGGTCGCTGAGGTCGAAAATTTGGATTTAGCATCTCGGTACTATTACAAACAACATAAAAAAAGAAACCTACTACCCCATTTCATGCAAGGTAGACCCTGATTTTTATAACAAGGTTACTGGGTTACTAACATAGTGTTTTCATAAGCTCAAATATAGTAACTATGTATTGTAGGTCTACATTTTTCTATTGTTTACCAGGGATCCGGTTGGTTTATTTAAATTAGCACATATCAATAATAGTTGATTTATTTAGTATTGGATCACATCTGAAATCTTAATTTCGAATCTTTTTTGGCATTGGCCAAAACAAATTGGAAAAACACCATGTTGAGACTTTCACAATAAATTCCCAATAACACTAAATCTAAATCTCATACATAACTATGCAACAATGCATTTTAGCTGATTGGCAATGAAGTGTAGAAAACAGAGACACCAACATAAAAGCTTGTTTTTTGTTTAACTTTATCTCACAGTAGGCCTACTTGTAATTTGGGTTGTGTTAAAATAACACCCTTTATAATTTGTCCTTATTATTAACACTGTTACAACCACTTCCTGGCTGCAATTAGGCCTGAAGAAACTCTTCCCACAGTTTAACCCTCGAGCTGGTGGTCTTTTTATGCTGTGGTGGCAAGGGGTTTTTACAAAACATTTTTTATAACACATTTTTATACAGTAAATAAGTTTGTAAATATACCATATTATAGTAGAGTCCCGCAAACTCTGCATAATGTGGACTGGAAGGGTAAAAATAAAAACAATCAAATTTTTAAGCCTTTTACCTGCCTTCTTTATTTATATTTATATTACAAGTCAGTATTAAGTCATCAGATATATTAGAACAAATCCTTGGTACAAGTTGCGGATGATTTGACTTGAGCTGGTTTGAGTCCATGTTGAACTCAGATTTTAAAAATCACAAATTTTCTGAGCTATATTTTTTAAGAAGTGAGTTTTTAAGAATTAGTTTTGAAGTTTTAGACTTCGGTTTTGCAGGGCTGACGTTGCCATATTTTTCATTACACCACTATGGTGAATGTTGGCAAAATTATCATAAATTATTGCTGTAGCTTTATTTGTAAACAAAAATTAATAGTTTGACTAATTCAAATCAGGTTTATGTAAACTCATTAGAAAATTATACTTACAGTTTGTTTATGCCACTACCACAGTTGTAAAAGTACAAAAATTATCGTCCATCTGGCAACCCTGCGATTGCCAATACCTAATGAGACTGCGTCATTTTCATTTTTCATTTTTCATTTTTATTTCATGAAAAAAAAATTCATTCAATTCCGATACGTCGATGTTACTTGCTGTAACATATCGGCTTCTAAAACTAAAAACCAATACCGATAAAAATGAGAAAAAAAAATATTATGCAATAATAGCTCATTTAATTTATTTGTTGTATTAATATATTTTGGTAAACAATATTTTGATGACAATTCAAACTAAATTTATCACTGTACCTACTTTAAAATATCTTCAAAAATCATCTGCATGTGATTTACTAATCACTAGAGACTCCCTTGTTGACTATCGACTAGTGCAACTCGATAGATTCATTCAATGCTTTATTTTGTTTAACTTACTGTATCGCCGAGACGTATTGTTTGACTGTTGTAGGAAAGTGAAAGTAGTGGTAGTCCTCTTGCTAGCTCTGCCGAGTGACGATGGTTGTTTGTTGAACATTTGGTTTACACTGCACTAGCCTATATATGAAGTTAGATAGTTGTTTATGTAGGAATGAGGATTAAATAAGATATCAACACAAAAACAAATATCATTTATTAAATATATGCGTGGAAAATTGTAAAGTGGCACTTTTTATAACTACTCGACTCGGTAATTTTTCGAGTAGTAGTTACTACTCGACTCGGTCGAGTATTTGGAAAAAGTTGAGTAATTACCCCTACATTGGTTACATACACACATTGGTTGGGTACATTGGTTATATTACATACCAATATATTACATTTCAAGTTATATTGCATTTGAATAAAAAATCAAACTAATAAAGCCAAAACACAGAAACTAACCAAACACAACGCAAAATAAGCAGCAACAGATGCCGGTAATAAGCAACTACGTCATCATGACAATGTCGTCAGCTGATACGTTATTTTCATAGAGTTTTAAGTTTTCCCAAAGGTGTCCAAATACTTGAAATGCACATCAATCGACAGATATATTAAGTGAAATTTGTTTAATTTTTGTGCAAAATTCGTTAATTTCTGTGACGTTGTAGATATCGGGTGCTGCCATTTTGCCGCAGCGTAAATCGCCTGATATCGGGTGCATGCCAGTTCGAGGGTTAAAATGCTGCTAGTGACAAATGTTGTGTATGGTGTAAAGTTGTGCGTTTCCTTGTGTTTTATATTACATCATTTACCTCCTGCTCCTACTGTCTAGTAGCTAAGATAAAGCAGTAGGCTCACATTGCCACTAAAGAAACCCTTCACTTTCTGGTTGTTTGATTTATTTTGGCTTATAAATACAGTAACTATTTACCTGGTATTCCACCAATTTTATATCATAAATTCATAATGTAAACTGACATCCATAAACTAACACATTTGTTATAATAGGAGGTTATTTCTTGGAACATACTGTTGTGAAATTCACTTATTTAATTAATTTATTAATTTGTAATAGGTTAGTTTAGTGGTTAAAAGTTAGAAACGCCCATCCTTCTGTACCAGTACTTTTAAACTCAAATTACAATTCTACAAATAACATAAAATATTACATTATTTTTACTACGGAAAATCTAGAATTATCTTTTTTACAGAAAGAGACAAAGACACTGTAAAGCCGGTAGAAGAGGTATTTAAAATACCAGCACCACAACCTGCAACTCCTGCTGCGGCAGCAACTCCTGCTACCGCATCTGTACCGGATCAAAAAAAACCTTCAGCCAGGCCATCGTTGCAGTGTGTCAACGTCAAACAACTGATTGACACTATAGAAAATGCCAATAAAAAAAACAAGAAAGGTAAGTTTATAAGCATATGACTACCACACATTAACTACATATACCTTTATTTTATAACTATAGTTACCTTTGTGCTAAGAGCAACATCCCCAAAGATTTTTCATCACAACATTTTAGTTTAATTAGGGATTAGAAACCACTGAAAATTGTATTCTATTTATTCAATTTACTGATACATTGAAAAACCCAAAGATAGTAACAAACTAAATCACAGTACTTGTTTATACAACAGTTGTTATATTCACTTTGGATAACACCTCTCGTCTACTCAAACTGACACCCGAGTTTGATGGTTGCAACTTAACACAGTATCTTAAACATTCTTTGTTAATCCGCACCGTGCTTAATATATCCTTCATTGATATGATCTCACCTTAATAGGGATAGTTTATTTGGTAACAATTAATAATAAAAAATGTTGTTTGATTGGGAATGTGCCACTGTAAACAACACAATTTTGTTGGGTAGCAAGTTTTTCGTCAATCAAGTGACTGCAACAGTCCAGGCGGGGTTAAGGATTTATGCATCCTCGCAGAAGTGTATCAGTATCGGAATCAGCTTTGAGCAGTTAAAATGAAATTAAATACTACTTTATTGTCACAAAACATTTAACAAAAGGTAGTTCACAGAAGGTCGGTATCGATATCTTCGGTACCAAGTTAATTAGTTATATTCTTATTTACTCATTTACAAAATTCAAATTGTCAACCATGATGATTATTTTTCACTTAAGGCTATTTGAAAGAGCATATTTATCATGCAATATTATCCATAGTAGGCTGTATAATGATTATTTTAGTGTTATATGGTTAAGTTGTTATCACTATCGTCAGCTGATAGAGTGGTACAAACATCAACTAGGTTTTTGTATTTAAAATTGTAACAGAATATCACTCGTTGTAACTGCAATATATGTGAATCCCTATAATAGGAGTTTACAGTTTGCTCCTAACTTAGTAATTATTGCAAATAACTAAATAATTTGATTTCAGGATGTCATTGTATAACTACAGAATATAGTTTTGTCCCTTTCATATGCCACTTTATTGTAATAACGAATTTATGTTTAAGATGTTTTAATTTTTAGTTATGTCCAGAATACACTTAAATTGTTATAATAACGACCAGCCAACTGTTAAAGTGTAATATAATGTATTTATTACTTTAACTTTATATTTCGTAACTTGAAGACTTGGTGTATGAGAGTGAAACATTATTTTGTTCCTAATAGTTAATTTTGCATTTGTCAAATAACTAACTTTGTGTCAGGATTTAAATACAAATTTGTTTCAAATTGTCTACCTTTTATAAAAGCTCATTACAACAATGAATTAATGTTTGAGATAAGTTCAATTAGTATTTGACAGAATACGTCGGGTTATTATATTGATCTCAAACAGCTGTAAGTGACACGTAATACTGTTTTTCGTGACCATAAGACTGATAATGATAAGTCTGAAGATAAATAATTATTTGATTCCATTTTTCTTACTTTTCATCTAGTAATCATCAATAACTAACTGTTTCAGTATGCCACTGATAAACCTATACCGAATACTTTCTTTGGTATATTTTGTACCAGGACATTGAATTTATTTAATGACAGAATACATTTATTAATTGGCCTAAATAATTTTGTTTGTATTATAAGTGTTCAGTTCATTTAGGCCTACCTAATATTTTTCTTTGGCCTGTTTAAAATTAATTACAACAGCTAATAACTGTTAATCAATTCATAATTTTGTAAAAATAAACATTCCATTCTGGTTCTTCTTGTTACAATGACTTTATTTATTTTATCTCATAATTTTAATTTATTATACACAAACACTGCAATATTTAATGGTCCTTCGATCCAAGATATAACTTAAGCGATTCAGAATTACACTCATCCACTAGAACTCTTCTTATATTAATATTTCCTCATTTTACCCATTGATTTCTGTACCTCTGAACTCTTACCCATTTGAACTCTTATTTCCACATTGGAAATCTTAACCCACTCATTTACACTATTTGTGAATTTTTGACATTTATCTCCTCATCTTTGTACAATGGCATCACCAAAAAGTTATTTTAAAATTGAAACACGACTCACATCTTTGGTTAAAACTCGTCTCAAGAAAATAAGAAAGATCGTAGATCAACTTGTTGAACAAGAAGAGTCATTAACAGTTGTGCAACAGGAAGCCTTAAAGACACCGAGACCACGAGTCACAAGTTTCTATAGGCCTACCTGTAAATTTTTACCCATTTTTTTGTTTTTGTAGATCAGTGCCACAAATTGATTTTGTTTTTCCTGTTTGGTAACTGCAAAACTCAAGACTTTTTTTTATGTACAGGAAAACATCCCATCCCGTCCCGTCCCGAATATTGAGGAAGAAATAAAAATACCGTCCCGTCCCGAACCAAAAATTCAATCCCGTCCATCCCTAACGGTAAGTATATAAGTAGTATGTGCAATTGGAGGTGGCATTTAGCTACTCTACTCAAAACCAGTGTGTCTGAATCCGTCGCCAATCTCACTTCAAGGTTTTTCAAATCGATACAAATGCTGTTTTGTAGTAAAATTATCGGATTTAAAATGCATATCTCTATATTTTAGGTCCATAATCGGATGGAAGAAATTGGTGGTCACGTGAAATTTGTATATAAGGTGATTTTCCCCATTAAACCTGCCAAAATTTGTTTTGTGATTTGTCTAGTGATTATTGTCTTGATCTTAAGTGTGAAGGAAACAGTTTCTATCCTTGGCATAAAAGAAAAAGGAGGGGTTTGGACTTTCTTTAAATTTTGCTTCATTCTTCCTATAACTGACATAGATACAATATATAATCAATTTTATCGATTTTCAAACTTGTAAAGTAATATAATTGACATTTTCTTTATTTTTGCAGATTCTGGGACTTATTCAAAAGCTGTGAGCCCTCAACAAGAGGCCCTACCTTTGAGGCCTCTCACCAACAACAAACAATCATGTATGTATGAAAAGTAAACAACATTCAAAGTTTCTCTTTTGCAACAAGTTTTTAATCAAGGCATGTAATCCGGAACACATTTTTAAATGTACTTTTTCAACATGACAGTTCCAATATATAGTCTTTTTTTCTATTACTAATCAAGATGACGATCTCATGTTTTCGTGACCGTGGGAGATATTCATGATTTTGACGCGATTGTGCTTTCGTGACCACGGGAGACGACGATGATTTCTTTACGGCCGTGGGAGAGAAATAGAATTATGCCTCGATCGCGCTAGACGACAATCACGTTTTCGTGACCGCCAGAGATATTCATGATTTTGCCGCGATCTTGCTAGATGACTGTCACGTGCGAAAGATTTTCATGATTTTGCTGCGTTCATGCAAGAGAACAATCACTTTTCCGTGAGCGTGGAAGACGATGATGATGTCTACATAGCAGCGGAAGATGTTCATGGTTTCCCGTGATCGTGCTTGACGACAATCACGTTTACGTGACGGCGGGAGATATTCATGATTTTGCCCAATCGTGCTTAACGATGATCGCGGGAGATCTTTATGGTTTTGCTGTGACTGTGGAGTTGATGATGACTACACGACCGTGAGAGATATCTTAATTTTGCCGCCATCATCATAATTTGCCGCAGTAATCCCAAAAGTCGACCATGATGTCTCCACTACCGCAGAGCACACTATTAATTTTCGTTGTTAGATCTTTGTTTACTTTGATATGGTAGCTATTTACTCTTTTGAGAAGGGTTCAAACCCAAATTTTCCAGTTAGTATCAGTGTAGTATAACCAAATTATTTAGAAAATTTTTTTAAAACTATAAAAAACAGTAGGGATGGGCGAGTAGTGTTTTTTTGAGTCGAGTGGAGTCGAGTCGAGTAATTAGCCCTAATACTCGAGTATCGAGTCGAGTCGAGTCGAGTAGTTCACGAGAAAATCAACAATTTTATTTTACATATAGCTGTGGCAAAAACCCTACATCTTCATTTTTACGAACAAAGCATTTCTCAATTCACCAAAAATAGACCTGGTTAAAAGCTTTTATACCATATAAAAAACACAATATGTATGTGTATCAAACTTATATTTTGGTGTTAAAGGTTTTTTATTAATTGCAAAAAAAATGCAAAAATATGGAACTAAGTGTTTATTTAAAAATAGGCCTACTGTAAATGTTTGAATTTGACTAAAGCATGAGATCTAATAAAGTTTCCTCTAATGTATAAATAGGCTTATAAGTATTTATCTAAGTCATTTCTCAGTTTTTGTATTTATTTGAAATTCCATGAAATTGTCTTAGTTAACTCATTAGTTTATATTTTTTTTTAAATTACGTAGCCTACATCTTGGTCTACAAATACTCTTTGTAAGGTAAGTTTTTTCCCCCAAGTGAGTAAAAACTAACTTCCTATATAATGACATTTTCTCACTAATTATATATCTTCAAAATTTGTTTAACTATGAAAAAGTCACCAAGTCTAGCTGAAAACATAATCATAAATGAGAATATTTTTGAAATACAGAATAACTAATCAAACAAAATGTTTAACACTTTTACTTCTTAATTTTTTTTCCCTTGAAAATGTCTACAGTTTTTCACTTATTTTTAATAAATATTATCACTTATAATTGTTTTAAAGAAGTCCAGATGTGTGAACTTGAAGAGCAGGCAAGAGACATACGTCACTGCCTCAAAAACTCTTCTCTACTGTGAATGAATGAACTGTTTATTGTGTGAAGCCCCACCCACCGTCTAACGGGACATGGGGGAGGAAAAGAGAAAGTTTGGCAGAATTTGCCCTTGTTCTAAAGCCTGGTTCACATGCCCTCCCTCACCCTCGGCCTCAGTCGCTTGCAGATTTCCATTACACAAGAGTGTTATTTTGAAATACTGTAAATGTTTGAATTTGACTATGATGAGATCTAATAAAGTTTCCTCTCAAAATAGGCTTAACTTTTTAAGTATTGATCTAAGTCATTTGTCAGTTTTTGTATTTCTTTTTAAAAGCAATTGCAGTTGTACATTAAAAAAATTACAAACATCTTGGCCTACAAATACATTTTGTAAGGAGAGTCTTTTCTCTAGTGAGTAAAAATGATCGTGGTCAAGGAATGAACTGTGCTAAAACAGCACATTGTCAATGTTTACAAAAGTATTTTGACTGAAACCTGAAACCCTGGTATTTTTTAAAGTCATTGCATAATAGCCTAAGTCGACGTCTGTGGAGAAAAGTATGGCAATAGATAGGTTTTACTTTTAGCCTACAATAAAGATTATGTTTTGGGACTAAAATCTCCAAAAGACCAAAAGAGTGCTTTTAACAAACATTTCATAGTTTTATTTAGTAACAAAAGTGTTTGACTATGTTCCCGATTATACCAAGAACAAGGTTCGGCATAGTGGATTCACTGTGAACCGGCCTGCCTGGCAGTGTTTCCACACGACACACGACCAAAACAATAATCCCGCTTACTGGGTCGAGAAATCCTGTTTTATCACGCTTTAAAATTGTGAAAAATCCCGTTTTATCCCGCATGATTATTTTTGTACAATACCTAGTATAATACTTGACGTATCATGTTTATAAAGTTGTTTTAACATCACTATTATATTTTACTACAGTATTTAATCAATTTGAGTTAGTTTTTCTCTAAAATTAAATGGAAAAAATAAAAATAGTCGTCACAGCCGAAAATCCCGCATCCCGTTTTAATCCCGCTCAAGGTCTAAAAATCCAGTTTTCGGGATAATAATCCCGCGAATGGAAACACTGCTGCCTGGCCCTTATGCACGACGTCACTATAACCTCCGTGTAGGGGTGTCAACAATGGATTGGAACAATCGAAGTTTTGAACTTGTCTGTAACCTAGTTTTTTATACTTAAATACTCATTATTTATAAACAAACACGTCCTACATATCGGATCTCGAATCACGATATTTATCGATACCCTTTCCACCCACAATAAAACATTAAACGATGTCAAAGCAATCGTCATTTGCTCCATTGAAACACGAAAGTCGATTGGCTGACATGGTAGTGCACTGACGCCTCCTGACCAATGAGAGCTGTTGTTACATACTTTTATTGTCAACACTCACCATTCGTTATAACATTACAAAATCGACACGGACTAAGGCTTATAATATTTTTCAATAAATACATTATGTTATAGTAGCACTTAAAACTTCACTAAACTCTTTAATCAGTAGATAGTACAGATCAAAATATGGATCTACTTTTTGGCGCAATATAAAGCAAGCCTAACCATACGACGATGTTAAAGTTTAATGGTTGAATATAATTTTTCTAATGATGCGTATAATGCAGGGATTATTAAACTGAAAATATCGACGTGTTTAGGTTATTTATTTTGTACTAAAAATAAAAATAATACATCTAAATGTCTGACTTATTGATACAGACATTGTTTAGTATAATTAATTTCGTGTTGGCGGGACATTCGCTCGCCGGTTGTCTCTTGAGTTGAGTCTGACATCTTGAAATTTAGATTCGTAGATTGTGTTGTGCAATGCTGAAGTTAAACAATGTCACCGGCACCGTCGCTGTTTTGAACTAGATAGTTTCTAAGTTGGCTATGAAAATTGTTAACCGTGATTACAAAACTAATACTGTAGCTATACAGTAAATAAATGTTAAAATAAAATATTTATCCCTGTCGGTATCATCGGAATCGACTTTTGACAATCGAGTCTTGGTACCGATACCAATGTCCAAGTATCGGTGGTATCGATGACGATAATCGACTCATCCCTTTTTACTAGTAGAGCTGTATCGTGACGTAATCGATGCATCGGGATTTTGATGCATGCTAAATCGAATCGGGATTCGATGCATCGCACTCGCACACCTACACCACTGCCTATCACCCAGTGTCAGCTCAGCTGTCGGCGCTGTCGCTGTCAGTGAAATGGATGACGCAAGCGATGTCTAGGTTGCCGATTATTAGTAGGCCTAGTATGTCAATATTTAAAGGGGTTAAGGGATTAAATAAAACTCAAACATTTTCCTTTCTTACTATTTATTTGTCAAATATCAATGAAAATAACGAAATCGGCGTAACGTCTACTACTCGACTCGAGTCACGAGTATCTTTAACTACTCGACTCGACTGTCGAGTATTGCCAACTACTCGAGTAATTACTCGACAGTCGAGTACTCGCCCACCCCTAAAAAACAGTACAGTATAACCTCACTAATTCGAACATCGATAATTTAAAAACCTCTATAATTAGTAATGTTTGTATGTTACACTCAGAAAACCTCTAAAATTCTAAAAATAATATACCGATAATTCAAAGTGATTTTTCCGATTATTGCAGCCTCTACAATTCAAATTTGTACATACTTGAACCTCTACAATTTGAATTTTGTTACCCCAATTCAAATTGTTGCCTCAAAAATTTGAAGACAACCTCCACAATTCAAACTGCGTCATTGTAAGCCTCTGCAATTCGAATTTAGAACAAAAAATATGCCTGACATGAAACATGAACTGGTGCTTTTATTGATGTTCCACGATTTGTTCATTAGTCTTCGTTCTCTCAAACTCTCTACACTTAAAACTGGGACCTCCATAATTTGAATTTTATTTATTCTGACCTCTATAATTCAAACTCTTTATATTTCAAACTTCCTATAGCTCGAAATATATTGTCTTTCCTCTGAAATCCGAATTAGCGAGGTTCTACTGTATCAAGAACCGAGAATTGATAGGCTACATTTTGGTGTCGACACATCACTAATTTATAATAAAAACTATTCTTGAAAAATTTGGAATTAGTCTTGATTTTTAAAATGGAAATAAACTCGACACCCTGTCAGTATACAAATTTATACATGAAACAATTTAAATCCGTGCAAGTCAAATATGTTTTTCTATGCAACACTTTGAGATCCAAGTAGGGATGTGTCAAATCCGAATCTTGAATCTACCAAATCCTAAGAAAAGATTCGGATTCAAAA